GGGAAAAAGGAGGGAGATTGCCAAAACTCTAGTTATGGAATTCGTTGTGAAAAAAGTGGGTAGAAATGGGTGCTAATAGGGATGACTGCATAATGTACATTAACAAACATATACATCACCTTCCATACTTCCAACCTACTTTCAGGAATTCATTTTACATGCCCAAACTTCTCAGTTGAGCACTCCACCACAATGAGTCATTTACCTAATCACTTCAATCAAAACCATCCCTATAAAGAGCAAACGTTATCACACAACAACAACAATCGGAGATTGAACAAGGCATTCCTTAATCCAATGGCTAGATCTATACAGTTCATTTTGTCTTTCTGCTCATACACGATCATTAGAACCATAATCCTGACTTCGATACCGAGGTGTGTACAATCAAAAACTCTAGAGTCGGACATTCAAGTTCTTCGTTTCCTCAAGCAGTCAATCGATCCCATCACAATCTCTTCATCTTCCTTCCTTAATACATGGACTTTCGAGAATGATCCATGTGAGAGCAGTGGGGCACATTTTCTAGGAATTTTATGCACAATTCCTCATGAAAATTCTAGTAGCAGAATATCAGCTATTGATCTCGAAGGAGAAGGGTTGGAGGGGTTTCTAACATCAACAATCGGAAACCTAACAGAGCTCACCACAATCAATCTGAGCAGAAACAAGTTCAGAGGGCCAATACCAAACACTCTCTCCAACTTGGAAAACCTCAACAGACTTGTTCTAGCAGATAATTTCTTCAGTGGCAGTATCCCTAACAGAATCAACAGACTCTGGAAGCTCGGGAGTATAGATTTGTCACGAAACAGGCTTTCCGGTTCAATCCCTGCCGTGATTTCTGCATTTCGGAGCTTGACCCTCTTACGTTTGTCAAACAATGAGTTGTCAGGTAGAATCCCAGAGCTCACCGGGCTATGGCAACTCAGCACATTGGATCTTAGTGGTAATCAGCTCTATGGAAATTTACCACAGCTTCCTATAAGCTTAAGATCATTGTTGCTGGGGCACAATTTGCTTTCGGGGGAAATTTCATCTATAATGAGGCTACAACATCTCAAAACATTAGATCTGAGCGATAATAGGTTTTCTGGTTTGATAAACCAGGAAATCATCACATTACCTGAGGTTAGTCGCCTTAATGTTTCCGAAAATCAGTTCACAACAATGGCGGTGATGAGATCCACCGACAGGAGTACACAGCTTCAAGTGCTTGACATGCATGGCAACCGTGTGCATGGTCACTTGCCTGCAAACTTGATCACTTATGGGAACTTAACATCAATCAATCTTGGGAATAATTTATTTTCTGGTCGAATTCCACTGCAATATGGAGAAAAGGTGGGAGGCTCATGGAGAAGCTTGTACCTGGATCACAATTTTCTGGAGGGAGGACTGCCACCAGAGTTCGGCAGTAGAGCACTGAGGATCAGGGGAAGTCTTGCACAAAACTGCCTAAGATGTCCACTGAACAATTCCTTGTGTCATGGAGGGCAAAGGGCAGCTTCAGAATGTGTCGGCCATAGTGGTGGTGATAGTGCGTGAGCGCATTTCGGGCCCACATAATTTGGTAAATGGTAATGTCTAAGGGATACATGACTAGATTTTACCCATGCACTCCAAGTAATATGCCTTCTTGGTTCCAAAATAGAAAGTTGCCACTCCAAATGAATAAAAAAAAAAAGAACTGTTCTGAATATGGAAACTTAAAAGAGATTTTTGTTCTTCCTATCCATCTTCTCTATTACAACTAATCACATTCCAGTTAAAATTCCTAAACGCACGCTAGGGAATTCCCTTGACCTTGAGTACATTGGATCAGATGCCAGAAGTATTCACCTAATATAATAAATAAAATGAACAAACTGCATGTAATGTTTTGAGATGGCCATAAATCAATGACTTCTTGGATCAAGTATAATAAGAGTGTTCAGAAGAACGAATGAAGCCCCATGTTACCTAGCCAAAAAAAAAGTGGGAGTTGAGCCAAAGCAATGAAGAGCAAGCGATAATGATGCTTGTTTGAATCAAGACTTCTCACCTCAGCAAAAAGAACTCTCTTCATTGTCTTCATCAAGAAGATTCCCATGCATAAACAAGTCCAAGGCATCAAGAAATAGTAGGACTGGCACCAGATAATTCTTCCAAGGACAGCCAAACACATCCCTGTAAAAGTGTAGCTTGCGTATGATACTATGTCCAACAAGGGTGAGTCCCCACTACCCAATGACATCATTATCGATTTCAGCAGCAAAACTTGCAAAAACCAGCCTATCAGCCCCTTGATGAACAACCAATTTAGAGATTCTGTTGTGAACCTGCCAAGGTTTGAAGATGTTTTCAACAAGTAGAGATTTAAATTGCTCCAACGCAGGATTGAGAGAAACTGAAAATTATTTCCCAAAGTCACTAGCATAATTTCCAATGGTTCCAAAAGTCGCCCAAAATGCAACAACCACAATCACTGTTGCTGCCAGCTTTGCTGCTGCCTGGATCTATATATACATGCTACACTTCCTCGTTTTAGCCATGGATGCAAATCCATTAAAAAAAAATTATTGCTTTTCATGCTTCCTGTAAAGAAACTCTGAAAATAGTTTAACCACATAGCTGATGGTGACTTGCTTGTTTGGTAAAATGCTACTTGCAAGAACAAATGGTCTAATTCAAGGCCTTGGAGAAGTGGGAAGAGTGGAGGAGGGAAGGGGAAAGGAACAAGTATTAAAAGAAAAAAAGCTCCTAATAGAAGGGTATAAAACTATGCACATTCTTACTTTCCATGCAGACCCAATGAGAAGCCAGCAAGAACTATGTAGGTGCTGAACACCATCAATGGAATGTACAGATCTGGATCATTAATATCATAGATGGGGGGCTTGTAGGAGAGCCTGCCCCCTACAAGCTCAGTTATCCTTGTCCAATGGCCCTGAAGATATGAAAATAGGAAAGGTAAGCATTACTATTGGAAAAAATAGTGACGATGAACAAAAAGAAAAGAAAAAAGGCAGAGGAAACTAGGAATTATCCTGTGGAGGAACGGAAATAGAACAACCTTCAGTTTGTTCTGCACATAGTAATAATTGACTTGAAAGTAGTACTGCGGAACAGAGAAGTACGTACTTATCTGTCCAAATCAGAAAGAATGGTAAATGAAACCCCTCGAAACCTTCTCTTAAAGGAAAAATTAGCCCTTCATACTCCAATGGATGAACATGATCAGAGAACCACAAAAAGTCCTCTTGGAATGAAAAATCACTTCATCAAAAGTATGAAAAAGGTACGGCAAGAGGAATGGACATGATATTAGTAAAAACAACAAAGTAGTTGACAAGTCATAATTAGAAACCTCTGAAGTTGCTTTAGCCGTGGGTTTCCATCTAAAGAAGTGCTTCAGAGCTATACACCATCACAGATTCACTTAAAACTGAAAAGTTGTGAATTTTCCTCATTCAACTAAACTTCGGTTTCGAAGTGGACCAAGAAATTTGGAGGCTGCCAGAACATTAAGAAGTCTGACCAACAACCAACCTATTTGGCAAAAGAGGAGGAGCTTCGCGCCAGAAAGACAGAAGGCGATCAACGAAAAAGTGGCCAAGTTCCTCAAAGCCGAAGCCATCAGGGAGGTCGACTACTCGACATGGCTAGCGAATGGGAAGTGACGCCTATGTCTAGAATTCACCGACCAATGAATCAATTTTTAATTCACATTGAATTGAGAGCTAAACTTATTCATGGGTCAGTGTCTGGGGATTCTACCTGTCCTCAGAAGTTTATGCAAAAAAAGATGAACTAGTTCAATTTTCAAGGGATATCCAATCATCTCTCAGAGGAAAATTTTCCAAATTGAAAAAAAGTGGAAAGCTTCAATTTGGAAAGGTCACATTCCCCAAAAGACATCATCCAAAAAAGTCGCAGCCTCAGTAGTTATGGTGGACACAAGTCATAAGGCTTCCACCAAAAGCAATTTGGCATTGACATTGTTTCGCCATAAAATCCTTTTTGTGATAGATAAACTAACCCCAAAAGCGCAAAGGGGCACAACCCATGCACATAGGGAGTATAGACAGGGCACAAGGAACTTGAACTAGAAAAAAAAAAAATAGAGCACAAGGGGTCCAGGAAGCGTCAGTAGAAAACCTCTGTCAATAGCAGACCTTCCATGCAATGAAATAAATAATTCTAACATAAAATAAATAGCATCCATAATTTACCAGCAAATGAGCCTGTTAATTGCCTTCGAGTCTTACTTACAGTGCTTTGCACATAGTCAGAGCTTGACCCTAAAATTCTCTCTCTATATGAACCAGCTCCATAGAACGGATTCCCAAATGGATTCATCTGTGAATTTGTTGGTGGTCTGGGCACCCCCGGCTGATTTTCTAAATTGTTGTGCATTTCTGTTTTATGGAATGAAAGGAGGATAACTTATCAGTCCATCACTAGCAGGAAAACAATATAGGTCCAAAAGAAACTTTATAAGCAACATGCATCTCTTAGTTGCGAGGGAGCTCGTAATATCCAACATTAGTCCTAAGGTATTTCGAGCCACAAATATATCGCAGCACAGTAAACTGCAAAGTCCCAAAGAAATCTTCAAGCGGAATAAGGGAACCACCCAGCTAATAACCGACAACCAAAATCCTTCTTATTGAGGTGATTATAATTAATATCATACATATGAAGAGAATAGATAGGCCTGACAGTACATAACAATGGTTTGCAACAACTGGATCTGTATCACCGCACTGAAAAGTTGGTTCTTCATCAGATGACTAAGTCCTCAAGTTCAAGTTGTCAGCATTTCCACCCAGGTATCATCAAATGATTAAGTCCTCGAGCTCAATGTCTCAGTATTTCCACCCAGGTATCATCAAATGATCAAGTCCTCGAGCTCAATGTCTCAGTATTTCCACCATAGTATCCTAGTTTGTTAGGGTCATTTATAGTTGACAAAATCCTGTGAGTCACATAACTAGTAAAGTTGGGTTAAGTCTAGGTCATATGAGCTGTAGACTAAAGATATGCGTCCAGGACATGCGACAAGGATATGCAATAGTTGATTGAAGATTTCAATATCAAAATCATTGGATTCCCATCAGTTAGGATTGGTAAGTGAATCTACAGACCTTGAGCCTAAAGGACAATTAGATAATATGGTTTCAGTGATGCTTGATTTATATTTAGCCATGGTATTTGAAATCCAAAAATGTGCCTAAACACAAAAATTGAAGGCTTAAGAGTAGACTACCATCAAATGAGCCTCTCCTTGGTCTCAAACGAGATCATTTAGGATGAGTTTGGAAAATTCCAGAATCTAGAGGATGCTTCGTGCACTCTTGGTGCTCGAGCGAAGTGGTATAGGTCCTATAGGAACTGTTATCAGGAATCCAAAACCTGGCATTTGCTCCTTGCTCCAGTGGAGATAAGGGCGCTCGAGCAAGATGGCCGAGTGCTCGAGCGGCTGTAGAATCTATAGTTATGAACAATGTTACTTAAGGCGTTAAGTGAACTGAGGTGCTCAGGTCTCCTAAAGCCTAGGCGAGTGGCGAAACGAAAGCTTCGTCAAAGCGAGGCAAATAGTATAAAACCCAAGCAAGTATTGTAGTTTACTTGCTACTATATATGCAAGTTCTAACTTTTCAAATGTTAAATATTCAAATGCAAGCAATAGCATAGTGGCTACCATAAACATAAACATTTAAATTAAAAAAAAAAAAAAACAACAATAATATCTCAAATCATAACATTTGAAAACACACAAGTCAAGAACTAAATATTTGATCAGGTTCCATTTATCCCCTTCCCGCAACCCCTTAATTCAATCAAGATCTGTCGATATTGAAGAGGGAATTTTTAGGATTAACATTTATATACACATCGAACTACAATCTGTTGTGTTAAGGAGCTGGACTTTGAAGCAAAAAATCCAATCTTTCATAGAATAGAAGAAGGAAAAATCCCCTCAGTATTTTTATCCAATTAAGGCAATTACGCAGATCTAAGGGTCAAAACACATCAACAAAGCAATATAAATAAACAAAAGCATTCACTTCGTTGCCTTGCGCTTAATCATGAAGCGCTCGCTTTTTTCGGTTAAGCCTTTCCTTCGACAACTTGAGGCGATCTGGGTTCGCATATCCTCGCCTTGCCCCTAGGCGAGCTTTTAATTACACTAGTTATGAAGTTTTCTTATTTCGCCTCAACTGACCTCGCCATGCGCCGAAGTGTCTGCCAACTATAAATACATGACTCTTACACAATTTTGAGAGACAATGGGAGAACACATAAACAAGACCAAATGCAAAACCCTAGCCTTCGGTTTAGTGTTCATGCCATTGACTAATTGCAAAGTAACAATTGAAGATCGAATGCCCAGTCGTACAGTGTTCCCTAGTCAAGCCGATAAACTTTGTAAACCTTCCCATTTTCCGGCGGAACCGTGGAGGTTGGTGGAGTTTCGAGGCATAGTAGTTGTTAATTTCAATCGTGGAGCCCTAGGTTGTGGAATGTAGTGTGCAGGATCCATTAGATACATCAGGGATCAATGGCAGAATCAAGAGCATTTCAACACACGAGAAAAGCATAAAATTTCGTAAAGTATGATCGTGTCGTAAGTGTTCTGGTTCTTGTAATTTGAGTCTTCAATTTGCCTTCACTATGTCCAATGATTTTTTCCTGCGTTGGGTTTCAACGTAAAAAGTCATTTGCTTTTATTGATTTATGAGATTGCATCAAACATCGAAGACCAATATATCCTAATATATGGATCATAGAGGGTTGAATCAATCGAGTAATAATTTTTGCATATGATGATTAGCTGCTTCTTTGCTCCACATATTATCCATCTGTTGTTTCCTTGTGAGGCTTCAATTGGTCTGTGGACACTTTTTAATTAATCTTTTTAAAGACTTGTTCACCCCCTCTAGACATGTTGCATCTGGGTATTAGACATCATTACGGCACTTTCATAGTTGAAATTAGCTTTACCAGTTACAAGATCTGCACTGTTCAAAATTCATTGTTATGCTGGAGTTAATCTCGAAATTGAAGTTGCTACTTTCTGTAGGTACTTTCTTGGAAAATTTTGGTTAAAACAGTTTGTTATGTTATAGAAAACATCCATTTAAATCACAACTGAAGCAAAGACCAAATGACCATGCACGGACTCATAGTACCTTGATGCATTAAATATATGTAGCTTTTCTCATCTGTCGACTTTCGCAAGTAAACTCACTTGGCATCTCTTTTCCAAGAACATTCAATTTTTTTTTTTTTTGATCAAAAGAGTGTGAATATTCGTTCATGTAGGAAAATGATGATTACAGTCAGAATAAAGAAAAGTCTTGAACTCGTTCGAAGGACAATTGACCCAGTTCGCAGCAAGCGAATCAGTCAACATAGATGCAGCCACCCAATGAGCCATCCTGTTGAGGGCCCTTGACTTATGAAAAAAACTAAGATAGAGTTGATTGGCAAAAAACCTGATATCCGTCATAAGAGCACTAATCTCCCAAGGGGGGTCGTCTTCAGTTGAGGACAATTTAATAACCGCTTGGCAATCACTCTCAACACAAGAATTCTTTAACTATGTTGCAGTAGCAAGTGGGCATGCTTCCCTCACCGCAAAAGCTTTTGCTTGAGGAAGCCAAAACCTTTGCACCAAACCCGTCCACAATGCAACCGTTCGAATACCTGACAACAACACCAATAGCGGCCTTGCCCTTTTTAAAAGTCCCATCACAGTTGAGAATAATGTCATGTCTCCGACAATTAGGGGGGATCACGGGATCAACTGGGACAAAAGAAAAATTCACACCTTGAAATCAAGCTGCAAAAATATCACACCATAATTTCCTTGCAAAAAGCAATGTAGCAAAAGCATTTGGCGCCTCCTGATTAAAAACCGCCTAGTTGCAGCCTTTCCAGATTGTCCACGCAATAGTCGCGATTTTCCCCGTCACCTCTAAAGAATAAGAAGTGTCACAAATAGAATCTAAGATATCAGAGACTCATTGCATATCATAAGAAAAGGAATCCTCAACAAAGCGAAAACCAAAATCAGAACCAAACCATACCTTCTTGTAAAAGTGGTAAAAGTGGGATCCACTTGTCATCCCAAATTTGAATATCGTTGCCGTCGATAACTTGCCACAACAGCCCCTTATCTAGCAATTCCCTTCCCTTCAGAAAAATTCTCCAGAACCACGAAGGTCTAGATCCTATTTTTGCCTCCATTAAATCACACTCCGGAAAGCAAATTGCCCTAAAGAATCTGGCCCAAACAGAATTTGGGTTTGTAATGATTCTCCACCCCTATTTAGCAAGAAGAGCTTGGTTGAAGGAGGAGAAGTCCCTAAACCCTATACCCCCTTTCATCTTCGGTTCTATCATAGACACCCATTTCTTCCAATAAATTCCTCTCTACTCCCCTCCTTTACCCCACCAAAAGTTTCACACATATCTGTCAAGTTTTGCACAAAAATTCTTAGGAAAGCAAAAGACAAACATAGCATACGAGGGAATAGCTTGTATCAATGCTTTATTAAGATCTTTTTTTCCCCTTGTGAAAGTAAGAGCCCCAGCCCTTTCCAACCCTGCATCTTTTTCAGGACCCTCTCAAGCAAAAATTCAAAAATTGGAAGCCCCAGATATTTAGCATCCTCAGCCAAAGGCCTTATACCCAGAAGATTGCTAAGATGCTCCTTCTATTTAGATGTTGTATTGGAAGAGAAAATAATACCTGATTTCATGTAATTCAAGCATTGCCCCGAAGCCACACAATAAGCACCAAGAATATTGATGAAGTTCCTAATCCCTTGCTCCTTAGCCTTGCCAAAAAATAGGGAATCATCTACAAACAGGAGATGAGACACTGAAGGACACCTTCTGCGAACTTTAACTCCTTGAAACCTATGATCTTCCACACCTTTTTGGAGTAAAAGAGATAACACATTAGCGGCCAAAATGAAAAGGTAGGGAGAGAGTGGATCGCCCTAACGAATTTGTAACACTCCGCATTTTATTTTATATATATGCATATAAATATATATTAAATAATTTTTGTAAAAATGGGGATAGGTGTAGCGATGTGTGTTTGAATTTGGTAGATTGAAAATGGAAAAATGGATGAAATAGTGAACAGTGCACGTGAACTGTGCATTGGCTGCAACTTCAAGCCCAATTTAGATCTTGATGTAGTCAATATCTCTTAAAACTCAAAACATGAAAGTTGTAGATTTCTTTCTTAGATTTCCATAGCATCTTGAATCATCTCAATCGGAGCTCGGATGAGAGAGTTATGCCCCGATAACAAAGTAATATTGAAGCAGCCCATGAATAGTAAAAGAAAAAAAAATCGGGATTTCTGTGTTTAAAAACACAGATTTCAGCCTTTACTCTCATTTCTCTCATTCCACTCTCAACTCACTTCTCTTAGGACTCTAGAGGAAGAGAGAAGGATAAAACACAAGATCAAGAGGAGATCTATACTTCAAAGAAGATCAAATCTTCATCTTCTTCACACTAAACCTAGGTTTTTAAGAACATTGAGGTAGGGTTTTCTTCCATCCTTGTCCATTGATGTTAGAGTTATTATACATGTAAAATTTGGCTCTTAATAGTATGTATTTGTTATGGATTTCTTGTTCCTTGGTATGTTTACAAACATTCTCATGATTTGAACAAAATGATGGTTGGAAATCCATCAAACTCTAGTTTTTGGGGGAAATATGGATTTTTCTCTATATATTCACATCATCTTGATTTCAAAAATTCTAGAACTTTGTGTTGGGTAGTAAAATGATTGTATTGATGATCTCATGCTTATTTCCTTTAAACTTGTCTCTTGTTATATGATTTGCGAAATGAGTATATTTTCTTAAATTGTTCTATTATGTATCTTGTTTGTGAAAATTTGGGGAAACATCATGGAATTTGCTTGTATATGAGGTTGAGTATATTGTTGGTATGTCACTCTTGTGTATGGTGTTGTGAGGGACTTGGATTACCTTCAAAAACTGCCGTAGAGCATTAGAGGTTAGTCTATCCCAATGGGGGGTGAGATGGTTGCCTAATGCTCGTAGTGGATCACTGTGGTGACAGTGACCACTATTGTTCACGGATACCGGGAAAAAGGGTTAGTATACTAGACACCTTGGAAGGATCTCGTCAATGCCGTATGAGACGGTACATGTCCTTCCTAAATTGGTCCGTGATTGTTAGTGGAAATGGGTGAACGAGATAGAATCGTCGGGTAGATTTATGAGAAGCGACAACCTACTTGAGTGGTACCAAATAGAAATTTTTGTTCATTGTACCAAATATTATTTTTCCAAGAGTTTCAGGTAGTATGGGATGCCGCGATACCTTGTGGAAATGGTGTATGGTGGAGTGGATTATGTTGGAAATTGTTTGTCAATTAAACGTGGTTTTATTCTCGTTCAAGTCCTTATTATTGTACAAACTTGAGATCTCCTTTAAAATGTCCTTACTTTACTTTAAAATTCATTTATATGTATGTGCGAAACGTGACCTACCTGTTTTACTTGATTTCAAAACCTTGAATGGGTTTGGAAGGATCCTCCTACAGAGCCTTGTGCTCACCCCCTACTTCCCCACCTTTCAGATTTTGCCTTTGACGAGGAGCTGGGAGTCGAGGGGCCGACATATTTGGAGACTCCGATAGAAGGGAGCGTGAATCCCGAGGTGGATGCTTAGAGCGACCCCCCTTTCTTTTGTTATAGACTTGGATAATCTTTTGGGAGAATTGTATAGCCTAGTTTTTATTTTATAAATTCCGCTGTGTATTATAGTACTTTTGTGGGAATGTAAAGGCCATAACTTGGCCTATTCTTTTGGGATAACATGTAAATTGGATGGATTGATTTTATGGTAGTTAAATGGACCCGGTGTGGTCATTACAGTAGAATTGCACAGGTTGTGTTTTGGGTAGAGCTCCCCTAACAGAGGAGACTCTGCCCAAATTTTCTTAAAATATGAATGGTGGATGAATGAAACTTTCGTCGTGATGGATTTACTTAATGCTCTCATGCGGTGAATGGTTTTTAGAATGTAATGTCATCCAAAGGGGTTTTTGGGGCGTTACAGATTTGGTATCAAAGCCTAGGCTTTAGGTCTTACATGGGAGCTGTAGGTTATGGATTACCACTCGGGAAGTAGGATTAAGTTGAAGGAAATTGTTGGTCTAATTTTATATGAACCTTATGCTGTTGATTAAAGTGATATTTAGGATGTCTTGTACATCAATGAAACTAAATTGACAATTGATATGCAGGATGGACGGTGAACGGGTACGTGGACGTGGACGTGGGCGTAGTCGTGGGCGTGGTGGTCAAGCAAATCCACCACCTCTCGACGCCATACAAGGTATTTACCAATGTTTAAGGGAACTCACCACCCTAGTGCAACAACCAGGTGGGAACAACCACCACAACGGTGGAGTTCGTCCTTTAGTCCAAGTACCGGGCAACGGCGATGAAAACTGAAGGATGGTGGCTCTTCGAGAATTTCTACGGCAACACCCACCCACCTTCCAAGGGAGCTCCAATCCCTTAGATGCGGATAGATGGATCCGCCGGGTGAAAAAAATTTGTGATGGTATGAGGATCGCCGGGGACCTTCGGGTTGGCTTGGCTACATATTTGTTGGAAGGGGAGGCCGATCAAAATAAATATCCACAATTTTTATCAAATATCATTTCAAAGAAAATATGAGCTTGCCCTTTTGGAGGAAACAAGTTTTCTAGGAGGCGATCGGTTGATATCCCTATAGATCTTAACCATAAACTCTTAGTGGATGAATGTGAATGTTTCTAAGATCTTGGATGGTATCATCAACTAGTTGGGAAGTTAAATTATCTTACTATTACCTGACCAAATATATCATATGCAGTGATTGTAGTAAGTCGTTTATAAAAGCTTCTTATATACTACATTGGGATGTTGTTATCAGATGTCTCAAGAGAGCTCCCGGACTTGGATTACTATCGCAAAGACACCTTAGGTTAGAAGGGTTCATATATGTTGATTAGGCAGGTTCAGCCTCAGATACACGATCTACAACTGGATATTGTACCTTTTTGAGAGGTAATTTTATAACATGGAAGAGTAAAAGGCAGATAGTGGTTACTCGATCTAGTGCAGAAACTGAGTACAGGCCAAAGGCTCACACGTGTAGTGAGTTAATGTAGTTACAACACTTTCTCATGAAAATTGGGTTTCTAGTCCAGACTCCGATCGAGTTATTTTGTGAAATCAAGATGCTATTCATATTGCTTCTAATCTTGTGTTTCATAAATGAATGAATCACATTGAAGTTGATTGTCATTTTGTACGGGGACATTTCCACACTGTTTATTAAATTTGAGAGTCAACTTGCTAATATATTTACTAAGTCATTAAATAGATCTCAATTAAGATATATTTGTTCCAAGGTGGAATTATACGATATATATTCTTCAGCTTGAGAGTGAGGATTAGAATGTATAAGTAGCATCCATGTAATAACTATATTCCAAGAGAAGTATATTGGTCTTTTAGTTAAATTTAGATACATATATATATGAGGTGAGGTAGAAGGTAGGGTAGCACTTCTATTTCTCATTCTCACATTTCTCTTTCTCTCTCGTAGACCCTAGAACACACATTGACATGGGGAAACTACAATGATGAGTTAAAATAATAAACAAAAGTCACAAAGGGAGAAGACCTGTACTTGAGGAATGTTGTACTCTTAACTATTTGTTAAAAACTGCTAAACCGACATAGAGATTCA